ACGAATTCTCACATAGTCAATTAGAGGAAATCTTTAATGTTCTGTACGTACCTTTAAGAATCCAGGAATTAGCGAAATATGTGATTGTACCATTAGAAACTACGGCTAAATCCTACGGTTTTAAGTGAAATATTGAATAAAACTGATAAAAATACATCCTAACACACGATTTCATACATAAATGAAGAAAAGGTTATATAGGATCTTGACGTAATCCTTAAACAAAATATCAAACTCATTCAAAAGAAAATATGAAAGACCTCTGAAGTATTGGGCTACAGGTGAAACTCCTCCATAGTAATACTGTATCCGAAACTTTGGATACAGTAATTACATGACGGGATTCTCGCCTCAGTGCGTCATTATATAGACTATGAACTGAGCGAGAGTGAGCCAACTTCATAGTTATAATGAATAATGAGAAGAAATAGTTGAGGTCACAATGAAAGGATGAATGACACTAAGTGATTCATTCTTTCAATGTTGTAACTATGACTTAGCGTTACAACACAGTAGGTTCCTTGAGAACTGGGACACACACTGAAGGGAGACGGGGAGAGGCAAGGCAGGGTATGAAGGGGGGAGAAGAGAGATAGGGAAGGGAGAGGGATGATGGGGAGAGAAGATAGGGAAGGGAGTGATGATGAGGAGAGGAGACAAGGGAGGGGGTGATGAGGAGAGGAGAGATAGGGAAGGGAGTTATGATGGGGAGAGAAGATAGGGAAGGGAGTGATGAGGAGGAAACAAAGGAGGGGGTGATGGGGAGAACAAGGGGAGGGGGGGTGATGGGGAGGAGATAGGAAGGACGGGGGGTGATGGGGAGAGGAGAGATAAGGGTTATAGTGGATGGGAGAAGAGAGGGAAGGGAGGATGATGGGGGAAGGGCGGGGGGTGATGGGGAAAGATAAGTGGGAGGGGGATGAGAGGGGAAGATGTGGAGAGAGGGGAGGATGTGGAGGGGTGGAGGAGGAGGACGTGAGGAGGTGTTGAGAGGAGGACGTGGGAGGTGGGGTGAGAGGGAAGATGTGGAATGGGTGAGAGGGAGGAAGGGAGGAGGTGGATGAGAGGGAGGATGGAGGGTGGAGAGGGAGGATGTGGGAGGGGGTGAGAGGAGGATGTGGAGTGTGGTGAGAGAGGGAGGATGTGTGGAATGGGGGGGGAGAGGGAAGATGTGTGGTGGAGAGGGAAGATGTGGAATGGGGAATGGGGTGAGAGGGAGGAAGAGGGAGGATGGAGGAGGGGGAGGCAGGAGAGGGGGATGTGGGAGGTGTGGGAGGATGGTGGAGAGGGAGGATGGGGAGGGTGATGGGGAGAATGAGTTGGAGGAGTATGGGAGAGGGATGTGGAGGAGGGAGAGGGAGGATGTGGAGGGGAGAGAGGGGGGATGTGTGTGAGGTGGGAGAGGATGTGGGGGGGTGAGAGGGAGGATGTGGGAGGTGGTGGAGAGGGAAGATGTGGGGAGGGGGGGTGAGAGGAAGGACGAGGAGGGATGAGAGGGAGGATGTGTGGAGGTGGGGGTGAGAGGGGAGGATGTGGGAGGGGTGGGAGGGGGGGAGAGGGAGGATGTGGAGGGGGTGAGAGGGAGGATGTGGGAGGGGTGAGGGGAGGATGAGGAGGGGTGAGAGGAGGTGGTGGGAGGGGGTGGGAGAGGGAGGGGGGGGGGAGGGGGTGAGAGGGAGGATGTGGGGGAGGGGTGAGAGGGATAATGAGTGGAGGGGGGTGGAGGGGTGAGAGGGAGGATGTGGGAGTGGTGAGAGGGAGGATGTGGGAGTGTGGTGAGAGGAAGGATGTGTGGGGTGGGGGTGAGAGGGGTGGGAGGGGAGGGAGAGGGGAGGTGTGGGAGGGTGGAGAGGGAGGATGTGGAGTGTGGTGGGAGAGGAAGGATGTGAGGGAGGAAGGAGAGGGAGAATGTGTGGAGGTGGTAAGAGGGAGGATATGTGGTGAGAGGGCGGACGTGTGGTGTGGTGGGAGAGGGAGGATGTATGGAGACTGGTGAGAGGGAAGATGTGTGAAGTGGGGTGAGAGGGCGGACGTGTGGAGTGTGGTGAGAGGGAGGATGTGTGGAGTGGGGTGAGGAGGATAGTTGTGAGTAGGGTTGGTGTATCTTATGATCAGTCTGACTCGAGACCATTTGAACAGTTTGTGGAGATCTCTGCAGGGTTGCAATATCATCTTAACTTGGTACCTTCCTAAATATCTTCATGTCGTCCACAAACTTACCTACAGTATGCTGCCAAACTCTGATATATCATGGTTTAAAGTCTCAAGAAATCTGCAGGCTGATGATAAATTTAATTTAGTGCCACATTATTTACCCATAAAAAAGCACTACTGTATGTTGTTTATTCTTTATTTCACCTTGCCAAGCCATTCTTATTTAGCCACTGTCTATACCCCGCTTGCACCAGATGGTAAAGGTATCTAAATGCTGCCATACTGGGCTTGGTGAATGAACCTATACTGCAACTATCAATCCTTGTACTACACTCATTTCAAAATCATATTCTTTATACTGTACAGTAGTTAATTTTCAATCATCCCTCATACTGTACAGTACATGAATGGATGAACACAATTCACTGGGGAAAATTCTTACCTTAAGTGACCTGGGTGAAAGTTTTCTTTCTGCTGTACTTGGATGATGCATTGAGTCAGTTAAACATGTGCAAAGTGTTTCCAGTAAACATTACTCTGCATTATGTTCTTTTATCACAGGTAAGTGAAATAATACAGTAATAAAATATTTACAGTAAAACACAAAGTACACAGAGTACTGTAACCGTACAGGAGTAATAGAAACTTAGGAATCTAGTGCTGTATGTAACTTTAAATTTCACATTAAAGTTTCACACGACTTAATTAGAAAACAAAAAACAAATGCAAAAACTCTTCCTTAATTTTTGGTGTTATGGATTCATAGGAAATAGTTAATGGAGTGTAGAAATGTAAGACAAAGTCCCATATGGGCCACCTGAGTGGTGTAGTGGATGGTGTGGACCGTCAAAGAGGGACCATGTCACCCTTTCTGGCAATCCACCAATGAAAAAATAGTAGAAAATAATGTTGTGTAACTTTTGGACTTATCCATAAGTATAAAACAGTTTCTAGAGTGATTAATATAATAAAAATACCTGCACATACCAGTAGTGGACCAGTTTATCCCAGTACCACCCCAATAGCCAATAGTTAAAAAAAAAAAATGTTTAGGAACACGGAAAACACAAAAAATAACAAAATGTATAGTACAGTATAATGCTGGTAAATGAGCCAACGAGATGGAGAATAGTGAGGAGGGGTCAGGGGAGATGGGGGGATGAGTGGAGGGTAGTGTGGGAGAAGAGGTCAGGGAGCCCCCCCCTCCCCCCCTTTTATTTTACCCCTAGAAGGCGGTGAGGAGACTTCCAGTTATCACAAACCATTTTTCCCTAATTTAGTAGCCACAAGGCTTTGTATTCCCGGCAAAATAAAATCGTGCAATTTGAAAGCAAAATCAGGACAAGCCCCACATCAATAAATGGGGATTGTTTTGGGAACACATCGATCAATGGACTTAGTACTTTAATGGTTAAAAGAATTTTGTTGTGATGAGGTAAGAATGTATATCTGCTATAAAACAAATTCTTCACCTGAATAAACCATTCTTCCACTAAACTATTGGCAGGTTCTCTCATGTGGTGTTCAGCTTGCTGGGATCTCACAAGTCACTTATGGAGGGGCCTTAAAGCCATATGCTGTATACTACTATACTATCAATAAAGCCAATGGCTTTACAGTGCCTTAAATTATCCTCGCAACAACTAATAATTAAAAGAAATACCAAAAGTGAGAGTCATTCAAGACAACAATCTCTTGCCATACCTAATAGCCTTCATCCCTGAAATTTTAAATAATTCATCAATCAATCTTACATTTTTTCTGCTAAATATGTCATGTAATTATACAAAATACGGACAAGTACCAAAAACCAAGAATCAATCAAGTCAGTAATCTCTCCATAAGACTTAAGGCATTAATTGTCTTCATCCTTCAACTCTTTAAAAGAAAAAAATATTACAGTACCAGTTGTTCACATTTGAGTCCTCCCTCCAACTAGTACTAACACTACAGTATTAACCATTGTTCCCTGTACTGTAGTTCCCTTGAGACTACTGTACATCTCCAACAAATATGAAACTTAAAAAATCTAAACATAGTGCATTAGGAACATAAAAAGTGCCAGACCACTATACCAGTGCCAGTGCTCCAAAGACATAAAATACCCGGTACTTGCAACAAACATTTATGAGAACAATACCAAAGAACAAAATATTAAAAAAAAAAACCAAAAACGAAGAAGATTGAAAAGTGAAGCAAATTAAGACACAAGAAAACATTGTACCAGCAACTGAATAATATGGAACAAAAGAACCAAAGGTACATAATACTGTTCTCCCATTAACAAATGTGACCTGTAACTGTGACTTTTATTTTTGACTGAAGGACTAGAATTTGGTGTTTTGCGCTTAACCTACTGATAATGCATATTGCAAATTAGTTTCATCACACTCTGTATCAATAAAAGAACTATATTCCTGACAAAGAAAAGTTCACAGACAACCAAAAAATTACAGCAGCTCCATGCCATAATGCATCTGCTTTTATTCACTAGAGGTTGGCATCTGTAAATATGTATAACTGAATATAAATCAGAAGAGCCAAGTTAATCGAGTAAAATATAAAACAATGTTATGATACCCAAAAAATTAAAAATTCACAAAAGTTACAAACTGCACCAAAAATATTAACAAAAGAAATAAAATTATATAATATACTGTACTTAACAAGGATAATGAGCAACATACAAAGCACCATAATGTAATACCAATGAGTAAAACACAAAAAATACTTCAAACTTGCAACATCAGAAGGCCTTTGCACTTTTAAACAATTCACTTTATTGCTGTACTGTATTGACAAGAAAGACAAAACCACAAAATGAAGTGTGAAGGTGGGTAACTTACCACTCTTTGCTCTATCCATTCATCATGGTTGTAGGGGATACATCCATCAAGGTCCTCTGTCAATTGGTTCTTGTCTATGTATTCATGCAGGTCACCGATACAGTTGCACACAACAACCTATCAAAGAAAATCTGTCATTAGAAACAATCACTTAAAACCGTATTATCTGTCTTCTCTCCAATTTACACATTCAGATCATGTAGAATCAGAAAACTTCTTAAACTATACGGTATACAGTACAACATAATAAGTTTGAATTACCCAGGAAAGAGGTTTTACTCATTAATTTTGCCTACTAAGTGATGGTAGGGTAGCACTTACTCTTAAGAATCATTTACCGACCACAGGACCTAGATAGAATAAATACTGTAGTAGAATTGTCTACGATGAGAAAACTAAGGCATCAAGATCTAACAATGTCTGTATTCCACGATTTTAATTTTAGGAATATAAACTGGAATAACTTAACTGGAGACTGGGAATCAGATGAATTTTTAGAAGTGGTACAAGAAAAATTCCTCCATCAACATGTTTTGGAAGCAACATGTGGGGAGAATACTGTACAGTATACTGTACATGTACTAGATTTAGGAGGCAATCATTCTCAACCACACAAGTACAATGTCTTCCTGCCTGCTGTTCCTATATACCATGGACCAGTCTGCAATACAGTATTGGGCTTGAACTTATTATGGATATTCAGCCTGGTCCATTTGTCATGCCATCTCCTATTACCTGTAAGCTTACTTAAGAGAGAGAAACCGCAGTAGCTTCCAGGGTACTCCTTCGGGACCCACACCAAGCAGATGTTTTTGTCAGTTGAGTAGAATTTATTGATAATGTTGCACTGTATTTCATTCATTTCTGTTTGGCCATTTTTATTGCTTGAAGAGCTGACATTAAATCTGAAAATATGACAAATTTCTCATTATCGGAGATGTTTGTGTGCCATAATCAATGGCCTTGTCTAGCAAACAGCTCCCTTGAAAATACTTTTATGTGGTATGGCAAGTGATATCTAGACTGATAGTTTTCTGACCAGATGCCTGCACCGACGCCAGTATCAGTTTTGGATCCGTCGGTTAACAGACATAAGCGATCCGAAACACCAGGAAGAGCTCAAAGAATCTTATACGGGGGTCTGCTGCTTTCTTGGGAGCCATTTGGTGGAGATAAACGGTCTCAGGGCTTCCCAAGGAGGAATGATGTTGGACACAAAGTTGTTAGTGTCAAGAACCAAGGCCCATTTTGTTGTGCTTGTAGGTGGAGGCGAGCTGCAAAGGAATTAATCCCTGCAAGGACGTCATAGCTTCCTTGGGCCAGAGCACTCCAAGCACATCGCCAAATCACTCTCCACCTTCATGTCTACTGGTATTACCCAATCTACTGTACTGTATACGGTCATACTTCTAGTACTTCTTTCCCCTTTAAAATCACGTGCTTCTGTCTTCTTTACTTCTTCTAAAAACTCATTTTCACTGTTTTTTGGTGTATAAACCAAATTATTGCCAAGTCCACAGGATTAGCATATAATCTGTCTAACAGTATTCTGACACTTGACACAACTACTGAACCCAGCTTCTGACTTACAAGAATACCTCGGCCAAACTAATCATTGTTTAAAATGTTACCAAGCATCCTGACCATGTCCATAACAGACTGAGACAAAAGAACTGGCTAATAGACTTACCCTGAACTTGAATTCGTCTCTGAATATCTTGTTCGAAACCTCTGAGATAGCTTTCTGGAAGAATCCTGCCGGTCTCAGGACATAAGCAACTGTGATGAGCCCGGGAAAGAATCCCTGGAACAGAGATGATATGTTATTAAAAAGTATTTGTAGGTAGAGATAAAACTTTCCAAAAAAATCAAACAGTAGGATTCATTTTACAGTGGCCTTTCCTTTCTAGTGTTTTAGAAATAAATTGAAGCAGCCAAGGCAATTTAATAAACAAAACAAGTGCTGTACTAATAGTTACAACTCAATATCCACACTAATAATAATACAGATAGTAACTCTTTGGTCTGGCATGTTTTGAATCTGGTGCCATTAGTTTGCAGAGTTGTTGCACAAGTATTAGCTTTTTACTTTTACCCTCTTCGCCGCTGATCAGCTCATGAGCCGCTTGGGTGGTCAGTCACGTCTTTGTTATGCACTGTTGGCAAGTATTGGCTCCTGAATGTATCTGAACCTGCTCCAGTGTTGGTCAAGTCTGGTCGTGAAAAGTTCACATTCAGTAACGTTACAACACTGACAGTTTTTCCAAGAGTTCACAATTCTCACTCCGAAAAGTTTGCCCTCACGGTTTTCTAGACTTGAGGGGCGGGAGTTACCCCTTGCCTGTCTGTAGTATAAGCTAGGCAATTGCAGGCGTTTTAATCTCTCTGGATAACTCAGCGCCAAGCAACCAAGTTTCTTTAGACTGTATCTCCAGCCAAGTGTTTTGGTTCCACACTCTTGTCTTTCCTAATATTTTGCCTATACAGTATTTTAGCCCTACTTCAGATACATTCAGGAGTCAGTGCATGCCCAGTACTTAACAACAGTGTATAGCAGAGACATGACTGGCTGCCCAAGTGGCTAACGACCCGATCAGTGGCGAAGAGGATAAAAAAACAAAAAACAAAAAACAAAAAAACAAGAGACCAGGAGGTGTGGGAGGTGGCACCACGAGCATTGCCACTAGTACCTGTAGTGAATAACTTCACCAGGGCAAATGCCTGGGAGATGTTCACGGAAACAGTGCCAGAGAGAAAGAGAGGGACGCCGGTTATGTTATGGTTATTTTTAACTCATAATTTAGGGTAAATACAGTTACTGTATACCCCGAAAGCCTACGTCCCATTAACTGCCGATTCACATAACCGACAATTACATATTGGGGAAATACCCTCAAGTTTTGTTGATACCCCAGAGATCTGATGATCATGAGAGAAGCAGCAGAGGTGTTTTGTAATTGGCGGGCGGCTGCGTGGTGCAAATTCTTGCCAAGAGACGGCTCTGTGTGCTGCCTCGGACTCGCTCTGGCCTCTCCGAAGTTAACAGAAAATGTACTAAAATACTAAATGATAATGCACACACGTAATATGAATTATGACTGATATAACCTGTATTGAAATTTAATTCAATGATGAACACATGTCACATACGAAATATGACAGAGTTGTAACTAAGAAAATTAATGTTGTTGCTTGCAGGAATATAACATTAAATTACGATATAAACAAGAGGGGTTGTAACCAAGGGTGGATCCAGAGGGTCCGGACCCACCCCTTTTCATCAGAAAATTCCAATACCTTTTCTTTAATGCAGTATTGTACTCGGGCATTTTTGTGTAGTAAAAAAATATTTACTATTGACTACATAATATCTCCTAGTATCAAGTGCGCATGGCTTCAAAATGGCTTCATAATGCCCACGATATTGGTCAGATTTAAAAAAAAAATTCTGGGGGGTTACAGCCCCCACCAAAACCCCCCAACAGGATGGACTTGCTGCGCTCGCCACGTTCCCCCACCCATAACTTCTTGGACCCCCTTTTTGATATGGATATTCCGTATTTATTTTAAGAATCCTCAGTCTATACCAGTCACAGTCGTGGTGTCTGACAAAAACATCTCATGAGCTGATTCAATGCTCGAGCACACACACACTCTCTCTCTCACTCTTTAGATTCCAACACACTCCAGGTAGATAAACTAAATTGGAAAACACACATCAGTGCAATTGTGAAATCCTCCAGTTTTTGTCTCCACGTCCTCCATCGTCTTAAGTCCCTTTGTGCTGACTCAACATTCATGCTTCCCAAGCTCACCTATGCTTCCCCTGCCTGGTCTTCTTCCCTTAATACTACACAACAAAAACACTTAGAAAAAGTGTGCTCAACACACTGACCCTCTCGGCTTTCTCTGATCATCACCATAACCTCATCTGCAAGTTTGGTGAGAAGCTTCTGCACCATTCTCGACACCGGCTCCTACTACCACCCGAGATCACTCGTCCATGAATTGCTGTTCGACACCATAACTGCATCTAGCCCATACGAGCAAATACTGATCGCTTGCTAAAAGAACAGTCCAATCTCAACCATTGTAAAAATTAACAACTCGTAATCAACCAGTGTATTCACTCCCAGCCAATCTTACCTTTTTGCACTGTCACTATGTTGAAATGCCCTGTAGCATAACCTTCTCCCCACCTTGTTCTTATATATCATATTTGTATCACTTTAGTTACTCGTATATTACTTGTCAATCAAGTGACCCATTCCCCAATTGTGTAAGTGTATATTTTCAGCCCTTTGGCATGCACGCACACGCGCGCGCACAGTTTATATTCATCGTACAACTAGGAGGGAATATTTTTGTTTTTAGTCAGCATTATTCAGCTGCTCCAGAATTCAGTGTTATGTGGCGAAAAGATAACAAGAAGGCCTCAGGATGTTGCGATTGTGTGTCTTGGTGCTCTGTCTTGGTGATAAACCGGTTAGCGACTGGTTAAGGATGTTCAATCGTGGTGGTCTCTCCCTCGTGTGTGTGTGTGTGTGTGAAGACGTTTTATATTATATAAATCCCACTGTTTACACCCCCCTCTGGCACTTACCGAGATCTTGAGCAGGACGGTCTTGACAGAGTTCCACTTATCATTCCGTCTGTCGATAACCAAGACAAAGCCCATGTCCGCATCCTGGAGTCTGAAACATCAAGTTAAATCAAGTTATATCACGCGTATTTCAGACTAATATCCGAGACATGTTACACATCATAATCATAATGACACATGTTAAAGACTGGTGGGAGACAGGCGTGTAACTGGAGGCTGACCCAAGTATAATCGAATCCTGTTTTTCCGAATTCTCACCCATTGTTTTCTGGTTTTGACCTGATCCAATCTCATTTCATTGACCAGTAAAATGTTAGGCAATAGTCGATCACTGAAAAGCACTGTATTTATTATGTTCCTGATTTTGACTCATCTCAGCAACTTTGTCATTTGGTAATGGTTATGTGTAAGCTACCACCAAAGAATGGAGAGTAAAGGCCTTCACGAAGTTTGGCGTGCAACCAACAGATGGCGTTCATGTAAGGAAAATTGTCTTTACTTCTTTACAATTGCTGGAGTATGTTATTAAGATTTAGTGAAATGGTAGATAAAGTTAAATAAAGGCCAAATAAAAAAGTAACTACAGAGAAAACACGTGACAATCAATTTAAATCAAAGACACTTGATAGGGAAGGAAATAGGTAAACATTGATTCGGAGTAGAGTTCTACGTATGTTACCAAGTAGCATCATCACACAATTAAGATGGGAGGTTTCAAATATATTGTCGGTTGAACAAATAAGTGATACTAGTTGGTCGTACATGAGAGTTGCCTCATTCGTTTGTTATAGTGATAAAACCTTATATCAGGGACCTGGAAAGTAGAGGCACCACAGTCCTTCTGTTGGCAAGGGCGTGAGTATAGGAGCGTTACTTTGTCAGCAACGGGTGTCAATTCTCCTGTCATCAGCGGATGCCATTTTTCCTCATCAGAGAGAGGGCACTTCCCGTTAGCCACGAGTGTCACTTCTATAAACTGCGAGTGTCGCGCTCCCTGTCAGCTGTCAGCAGAGGGTATCAATTCTGTGAGCAGTAAGTGTCATTGACAATAACGGTTGTCACTTCCTGCTAGCAGAGGGTGTCACGTCCACTATCAGCAGCGAATGTCACGTCCAATGCCAGCAGAGTGTGTCACGTGGTGGGTTCACAAGGTTGTGGACGCTGATGGACACAGCCAACTTGGGATGACACGACGTTAATGATGGTACAGATCCAGTCCACATTACACCCCATTTTTGCCTGCCTTCGTAGACTCTCACCCTCATCTCCCCTTTCCTCTCACCTGCCCCTCAACACTCACCTTCTCACCTGCCTCTCTCTCGTCTCACACGACTCTCCCCTCTCATCTGTCTCTTCCTCTCACCTGTGTCTCTCTCACTCCACTGCCTCCCTCCCTCCTCATCTACCTCTTTCCCCTTTCCTCTGCCTCTCACCTCTTACCTGCCTCTCTCACCTGCCTGTTTCCCCTCTCATTCCTCTCATCTGCCCCTCTACTCTCTCACCTGCCTCCCTCCCCTCGACAAATTAAGACCTCGTTCCAATTATGGCCTAAACCCATTTCAGGCTGGTCTCATTATCTCCCAGAAACTCGCAACAGGAGTAGAGACGCCTCACCAGGAGGGACAGTAGCACCTCACAGAGACTTTCACCAGGCAGAGTGGGAGAGAAACAAAACATTCACCACACACAAATACTATCTTCTACGTCCCAACTTTATCCTCCCTCTCTCCTCCTCTTCCTATATCTAACAGGAGGTGCAGGAGAAAAGTATGTCACAATACTCTCGTACATCTCTCCCTTCTTCCTTTGTCTCCCCTTACTTCATCAATTCTCTTCTCTGCTGCCACCACCTGAACCTCTTCTCTCTGTGAGGAACATGGTGACAAGGAACACCCCAAGGAACATGGGACAAACACCAACATGGTGACAAACACCCAAGGAAATGTGACAAGGAACACCCCAGGAACATGGTGACGAGGAACACCCAAGGAACATGGTGACAAGGAAACACCCAAGGGAACATGGTGACAAGGAAAACCTAAGGAACATGGTGACAAGGAACACCCAAGGAACATGGTGACAAGGAACACCCAGGGAACATGGATGACAAGGAACACCTGGGGAACATGGTGACAAGGAACACCCAGGGGAACATGGTGACAAGGAACACCCAGAGGAACATGGTGACAAGGAACACCTGGGGGAACATGGTGACAAGGAACACCTGGGGAACATGGTGACAAGGAACACCTAGGGGAACATGGTGACAAGGAACACCCAGAGGAACATGGTGACAAGGAACACCCAGAGGAACATGGTGACAAGGAACACCCAGGGAACATGGTGACAAGGAACACCCAGGGGAACATGGTGACAAGGAATACCTGGGGGAACATGGTGACAAGGAACACCCAGGGGAACATGGTGACAAGGAACACCCAGGGAACATGGTGACGAGGAACACCCTGGGGAACATGGTGACAAGGAACACCCAGGGAACAGACAGAACCGAACACCTGGGAACATGGTGACAAGGAACACCCGGGGAACATGGTGACAAGGAACACCCAGGGAACATGGTGACAAGGAACACCCAGGGAACATGGTGACAAGGAATACGGGAACATGGTGACAAGGAACACCCAGGGAACATGGTGACAAGGAACACCCAGACAAAACCGGGGAACATGGTGACAGAACACCAGGAACATGGTGACAAGGAACACCCAGGGAACATGGTGACAAGGAATACCTGGGGAACATGGTGACAAGGAACACCCTGGGGAACATGGGCAAGGAACACCGGGAACATGGTGACAAGGAACACCCAGGGGAACATGGTGACAAGGAACACCTGGGGAACATGGTGACAAGGAACACCCAGGGAACATGGTGACAAGGAACACCCAGGGAACATGGTGACAAGGAACACCCAGGGGAACATGGTGACAAGGAATACCTGGGAACATGGTGACAAGGAACACCTGGGGAACATGGTGACAAGGAAACACCCAGGGAACATGGTGACAAGGAACACCAGGGGAACATGGTGACAAGGAACACCTAGGGAACATGGTGACAAGGAACACCCAGGGGAACATGGTGACAAGGAACACCAGGGGAACATGGTGACAAGGAACACCCAGGGGAACATGGTGACAAGGAACACCCAGGGGAACATGGTGACAAGGAACACCCAGGGGAACATGGTGACAAGGAACACCCAGGGGAACATGGTGACAAGGAACACCCAAGGGAACATGGTAACAAGGAACACCCAGGGAACATGGTGACAAGGAATACCTAGGGGAACATGGTGACAAGGAACACCCAGGGAACATGGTGACAAGGAACACCTAGGGAACATGGTAACAAGGAACACCCAGGGGAACATGGTGACAAGGAACACCTGGGGAACATGGTGACAAGGAACACCCAGGGGAACATGGTACAAGGAACACCCAGGGGAACATGGTGACAAGGAACACCCAGGGAACATGGTGACAAGGAACACCCAGGGGAACATGGTGACAAGGAACACCTAGGGAATATGGTGACAAGGAACACCCAGGGAACATGGTGACAAGGAACACCTGGGGAACATGGTGACAAAGAACACCCGGGGGAACATGTGACAAGGAACACCTAGGGGAACATGGTGACAAGGAACACCCAAGGAAATGACAAGGAACACCGGGAACATGGTGACAAAGAACACCTGGGGAACATGGTGACAAGGAACACCCAGGGAACATGGTAACAAGGAACACCCAGGGGAATGAGGACAAGGAACACCCAGGGGAACATGGTGACAAGGAACACCTAGGGGAACATGGTACAAGGAACACCTGGGGAACATGGTGACAAGGAACACCGGAAATGGACAAGAACACCAGGGAACATGGTGACAAGGAACACCTAGGGAACATGGTGACAAGGAACACCCAAGGAAACATGGTAACAAGGAACACCCAGGGGAACATGGTGACAAGGAACACCCAGGGAACATGGTACAAGGAACAGACAGAAACCCAGGGGAACATGGTGACAAGGAACACCTGGGGAACATGGTGACAAGGAACACCTGGGGGAACATGGTGACAAGGAACACCCAGGGAACATGGTGACAAGGAACACCCAAGGAACATGGTGACAAGGAACACCTGGGGAACATGGTGACAAAGAACACCTGGGGAACATGGTGACAAGGAACACCCAGGGAACATGGTAACAAGGAACACCCAGGGGAACATGGTGACAAGGAACACCTGGGGAACATGGTGACAAGGAATACCGGGGAACATGGGACAAGGAACACCCAAGGGAACATGGTGACAAGGAACACCTAGGGAACATGGTGACAAGGAACACCCAGGGAACAATGTGACAAGAATACCGGGAAGACCAGGGGAAATGACAAAAACAGAACATGGTGACAAGGAACAACAGAACACCACACAAGAAACCAGGGGAACATGGTACAAGGAACACCTAGGGAACATGGTGACAAGAATACCCAGGGAACATGGTGACAAGGAACACCAGGGGAACATGGTGACAAGGAACACCGGAAATGTGACAAGGAACACCCAGGGAACATGGAGACAAGGAACACCTAAGGAACATGGTAACAAGGAACACCCAGGGGAACATGGAGACAAGGAACACCCAGGGGAACATGGTGACAAGGAACACCAATATGGACAAGAAACCAGGGGAACATGGTGACAAGGACACCAAGGGAATGGTGACAGAACACCTAGGGGAACATGGTGACAAGGAACACCGAGGGAACATGGTGACAAGGAACACCCAGGGAACATGGTGACAAGGAACTCCCGGGGAACATGGTGACAAGGAACACCTGGGGAACATGGTAACAAGGAACACCCAGGGGAAACATGGTGACAAGGAACACCAGAGGAACATGGTGACAAGGAACACCTAGGGGAACATGGTGACAGAAACACCCAGGAACATGGTGACAAGGAAACACCTAGGGAAACATGGTGACAAGGAACACCTGGGGAACATGGTGACAAGGAACACCTAGGGGAACATGGTGACAAGGAATTTTAGGGAACATAGACAAGGAACACCGGGGAACATGGTGACAAGGAACACCTAGGGGAATATGGTGACAAGGGAACACCAGGAGAGAGACAAGGAAATACCTAGGGGAATATGGTGACAAGGAACACCTGGGAAATATGGTGACAAGGAACACCCAGGGGAAATAGAGACAAGGAACACCTAGGGGAACATGGTGACAAGGAACCTGGGGAACATGGACAAGGAAATACCTGGGAAATATGGTGACAAGGAACACCTGGGAACATGGTGACAAGGAACACCCAGGGGAACATGGAGACAAGGAACACCCAGAGGAACATAGACAAGGAAACACCCAGGGAACATGGTGACAAGGAAACACCAGGGGAACATTGGTAACAAGGAACACCTAAGGAACATGGTGACAAGGAACACCGAGGAACATGGTGACAAGGAACACCAGGGGAACATGGTGACAAGGAACACCGGGAACATGAGACAAGGACACCCAGGGGAACATGGTGACAAGGAACACCCAGGGGAAATAGGTGACAAGGAACACCCAGGGGAACATGGTGACAAGGAACACCCGGGGACATGGTGACAAGGAACACCTAGGGGAACATGAAGGAACACCTAGGAACATGGTACAAGAACACCTGGGAAAACAAGGAATACCAGGGAACATGGGAAGCGGAAAATAGTGACAAGAACACCTGGGGAACATGGTGACAAGGAAACCAGGGGAACATGGTGACAAGGAACACCTAGGGAACATGGTGACAAGGAAACACCCAGAGGAACATGGTGACAAGGAACACCCCAGGGAACATGGTGACAAGGAACACCTAGGGAACATGGTGACAAGGAACACCAGGGAACATGGTGACAAGGAACACCTAGAGGAACATGGTGACAAGGAACACCTGGGGAACATGGTGACAAGAACACCTAGGGAACATGGTAACAAGGAACACCAGGGGAACATGGTGACAAGGAACACCCAGAGAAATATGGTGACAAGGAACACCCAGGGGAACATGGTGACAAGGAACACCCAGGGGAACATGGTGACAAGGAAACACACAGGGGAACATTGACAAGGAACACCCAGGGAACATGGTGACAAGGAACACCTGGGAACATGGTAACAAGGAACACCTGGGGAACATGGTGACAAGGAACACCCAGGAACATGGTAACAAGGAACACCAGAGACATGGTAACAAAAGGAACACCCGGGAACATGGTGACAAAAGACACCCAGGGAACATGGTGACAAAGGAACACCCAGAGGAACATGGTGACAAAAACACCAGGGAACATGGTGACAAGGAACACCCAGGGGAACATGGTGACAAGACACCCAGGAACATGGTGACAAAGACACCCAGAACATGACAAGGAACACCCAGGAACATGGCAAGGAACCCTGGGAACAGAAAGAACACCAGAGACAAAGAACACCCAGGGGAACATGGTGACAAGGAACACCCAGGGAACATGGTGACAAGGAACACCCAGGGAACATGGTGACAAGGAACACCCGGGGAACATGGTAACAAGGAACACCAGGGAACATGGTGACAAGGAACACCCAGGAACATGGTGACAAGGAACACCCGGGAACATGTGACAAGGAACACCAGGGAACATGGTGACAAGGAACACCCAGGGAACATGGTGACAAGGAACCCAGAGGAACATGGTGACAAGGAACACAGGGGAACATGGTGACAAAAGGAACACCCAGGGAACATGGTGACAAAAAGACACCCAGGGGAACATGGTGACAAGGAACACCCAGAGACATGGTGACAAAGAACACCCAGGGAACATGGTGACAAGGACACAGAACATGGTGACAAGGAACACACCCAGGGAACATGGTGACAAGACACCCAGGGAACATGGTGACAAGGAACACCCAGAGGAACATGGTGACAAGGAACACCCAGGGAACATGGTGACAAGAAACACCCAGAGGAACATGGTGACAAGGAACACCCAGGGGAACATGGTGACAAGGAACACCCGGGGAACATGGAAACAAGGCACCCAGGGGGAACATGGTGACAAGACACCCAGGGGAACATGGAGACAAGGAACACCCAGGGGAACATGGTGACAAGGAACACAGGAACATGGTGACAAGGAACACCCAGGGGAACATGGTGAAAAGGAACACCCAGGTTAGAGGCACTATAGTTATCACCATTCAAAGAGGAAGACGCACCACTTCAAGGATGCTACTAGACAGTGATGGACAGCTTAGGCCAGTGAAGGGCCCATCACCTCAGTTCGCCCCAAGAGTGACCCTATACTCTATCTCATTGGGTCACAAGATTGATATTTGTCACGTACTCTAACCATGACCCCCAGAAATAGCCATAAATAAATATAAAACAGACCCGAGTGTTTCATTATGTTATAGAAAATATTTATAATTGTAATCAACTTCAAATAGTGAGCAAAGGAAGTAATGGTACGTTTAACACACCACCTCTCATATTATGCTACACATGAAGACGTAATTGGTGAGGTGAGGGGCGGTGTACAATATATATTTACGAACACCTTGCAATACAACCTCTCACAACCACCGGCAGTAGCACACTAAGTTGATCATGAAGACAATGTTGCCATATAATAAAATAAATAGGCCTACTTTGTGTGAATCTAAAAATATTAAATCAATTAAATTTATCAGTGAAATATCAAAATATTAATAGAATTTTATGTTAGTGTAAATCCCAACTAATTACCAAAAATACGTAATACTGTGATTGTCAAAAGTTTAATAAATAGTCAAATCAGAGTTTAACGTAGAAGTAGATTGAAGAACACGCATTAGGGGTAGGCACAAGAATACAAAGTAAAAGTAGATACAAGAATACAAATTAGAAGTAGATACAAGAATATAGAATAGCCGTAGACACAAACATGAGGATGGAGAAGATAGAATAAGAGTGCAGTAGATATAACGCCATCAATAAAAGTAGATAATGAAAGCCACGTATATAGAGTACATAAGACTATACAGGAGGACATAGTAACAGGAACACAGATGTAGAGGAGACAGACGTACAGTACACACCTGATACTGCCCAGGACACAACACTTTAAGTAGGTACTAAAAGACACTTAGGTAGATACTTATAAAGGACATTAATGCGGTAGATGAAGTAACTAGTGTAGAGGGGGATACTCACGAGGGCACAGAAGTGAGGTAGATGATAAGTTTGCGGTATTCCTCATCTCCCAGTTGGGCGAAGTTGCCTCTGTCCGGGAAGGTAAGGATGGGGCAGCCCTCCCGCGACTTGCCACCTACGGGAGACAGAAGGTTTGTTACTGTACGGCCTGTCATTGTGCCCTGAGACTTACCACCTCACCACAACAAAAACATTATAGTTTTTTAATTTTTAATTTTGTTACAGATATTTCGGATTTATAGAGGTTGAGATTTTTTCTAATATTTACATACTATACATACTGTATTCTAACACACACACACACCAAAGTGACACCTGGATAACATCTGTGGCTCTTAGGGCTACTGGGGCTAGATTTTAGCATTGATAATCTATTTATAGTTTCCTGTTCCGTCTAACTGACCTATTCTTCCGCCCAGAACGGGACAGGGGAAGGTGGTGGTTAAAGATGGAAGTCATCAGCGAACGCGGATTGGAAACTTGTATGACGATTTTACGGAATAAACATTATTATTATTATTATTATTATTATTATTATTATTATTATTATTATGTTTGAAGACAAATTTATTTTACAAGAAAAAGGTGTTTACCATGCACTTAAAATTGTTCAAATTGTACATGAAAAATACGGGTTGCATGGCACTTTTCCGGGATCTTTAACCCTCCATCCAATAACACCACTAGCTGTTTCAAGCAGGAGCGTCCAGGCATAGTCCCGTGCTGGCCATCCATCCGTTGTAGATGGTCCATTACGCCAACGCACTTCACATAATATGCAAGTTCAAGTCACTGGAATGTAATTGTTCGTGCAGTAGTGAACGCCATTTTTAAATATATAACTCATACTAATTTCCAGTCATTTGGGATCTTTTGTTCATTCATAAAAATAATTCTATAACACAACTCCCTAACACTCTAATACACCCTTTGAGAACTATGTACAATAAAAGACAAAAGTCGTGTCGCGGTTTTGTCCGAAGATTAAATATAACTCGAGAAACATTATGAGAGCCCTACCACAAGGCAGAGCGCACCAAAGGTTGAGCTCTTCGGCATATGTTTTCACCAAATTTATCGACACGACTTTTGTCTTCCATTGTACTTCAGTGCTGTAACAAACTGCTTTTCCTCACAAATATGTATGTTTTGTGCATCCTCTTCACGTGAACACTGAGGGAAATAACTCATTTAACGCCTACGCCTTGTTCTGGCTCTGTATAACTACCTTCTTCAAGTCTCAGGTCTGATACACCCATAAGTGTCCTTAATTGATTTTGCGACGACATAAAACTACGGTACGACTAACCGAGTTTCATTTCTTAAACCTATTAAACTAGGTAGTAGGCAGCTACCAAACAGGGAGGTACTACCGCCTGGGAAGATATTGGAAGCATAATGTGTTGTCTAATGGTAGACCCTGCTGCCATATGGCATCACGAAAATTGAGACCAGTCCCAGGTTGCTGATCTGACTTTCTGCCTCATTTACACATAATTGCAAAGTCTCAATTGTTTCTTTTACCTTGACAACACAACATAGATAATGTTTCTCACTCTTGATTGATTGATTTTTTATTTATGGTTATTATTTGTATTATTTTATTTATTATAATTATTATTAATCATTATTATTATTAGCATTATTATTATCAATATTATTCCCCCCCAAGGTCCTGATGTGGGTCAGTGACTTGTGCCCGGGTGGGCTAATCCCCATAAAACAAAAAAAACAATAAAAATAAAATAAATAAATAAATAAATAAAAACACATCTCCGTCCATCGCTTAATACTTCGAGAATTTTTTCACCTTTACCTAAACGAAATCATACGTGTTCACTCTTGTTGTTCATGACCACTGAGTCTCCCTTGACTACATAAGTCTTCCTGCATTATATACGGTACTATGTACTGTATACCAATATATAAGTAACTTTAACTCCACATCACCAGACACACACAGTACCCCTATATATATATATATATATATATATATATATATATATATATATATATATATATATATATATATATATATATATATATATATATATATATAACATCGAGGCCCACTATTTTCTTCGCTCTCCTCTCCTACCTTCCCTCTAAACAGCGTGATGTAGCGGGTCCTTCCTGCCGCGTAAAGTTCTCCTTTTCTGAGGAAAGTTAGGACGTAACACGCAGGAAATGGCCCCTTTACCGCATACTGGCACCCGCCCACAACACACCCCCGATGTCGAGCCGTTAACAACATGAGTTACGGCGACATTACCAACGTGTTTTCTGTGGTAAAAGACTTAACCTGGGGTTAACTTGGAGGTTTATATGACTGTGCTCATAGTTGTTTTCATTTTTTACTGTCCACAGACGACTGGACATACACGAGGGCAAATGAAGGGCTCGCAGTACAGTACCTGCAACATCTGATGTACAGTTCAGTATAGCGCCACTAGCCGGATGGACTCGTTCTGTAACCGACCAGATGTGTTCAATATTCCATTCCCCATTACCTTTATACTGTTATGTTATGCTGAGAACAGCACGTTTGATCATTCTTATCATTGACAATTATTTTACCGCAAACAATAGTTGTCCAATTCTTGTTTATTAAAGCTGTATTGGATTTTGTGTACAGGTTAGTATCCTTGTTTCTTCACACTACCAATAAGAGTTGGGCACTAATATACGACCTGAGTTTTATTAACGGATAAAGTAGTCAAATAGTGGTGCGGCGGCTGAATGCATACAGTTCTCGCCTTCTGTGGTAAGGGTTACGGGTTCATGCCCAGCACCTCCTTTACGTTCACCCAACAGTGAAAGGCTTCCTAACCTTACATTTGGGAAAAGTAAGGGCAGTGCCGGCGACGCTGCCTCTTTATGTATTGAAAAAAAGACTCAAGTTTACAGTAGGCAACTCGTCCCTAACTACGAAACCCACTTTCCTAGCACCCAAATAACTAGAAGCCATTACTACATATCTGCGTTCAGCCACACAACCAAAGATACATTTTAACAATATATATACATATATATATATATATATATATATATATATATATATATATATATATATATATATATATAAATCACACAGGAAAAGAAACAACAGTACTCCGTTGTTTCCCAGTATTATCAAATTTAATCCACGTTTTCATTGTGGATCTACAGATATATATATATATATATATATATATATATATATATATATATATATATATATATATATATATATATATATATATACACATTACACTTGTGCCGATTATAAATAAGAACAAAATTACATCCAAATCGCCAATCTTAAGCCGACTGGAAGTGTTCTTGACGTGTAGGAGTTGTACGGCAATTTACTATTATGACATATTTAGTGGAGAGAGTCTGCTAACTTAACCTCACAACATTTAAGGAAATTCCCAAAAGATAAAAATGAGCATCAACTTCCCAGTATGTGCAATCAAAGAGATGTTTTACCTACATCGGAGTACCATAGTACTTTTTTTTTACGGGAAATAGCCCACCTGGACACAGGTCATCGACCCACAACGGGGCCTTGGGAACAGGAGTAAAAAGAAATTAAAAATAAGAAGAAAAATACTTAATTAATCTACACCACGAAGATGCCGGAAAACCAGCATTTTGAAATGAGACATTGTAAGAGTATGGAAACACGGAAGAAGGCAGAGCATTCCACAGTTTGGCTGTGAGGAATGAAGGCTGTACTATAATGGGTTATTCTAGTGTGACCGACATCCAAACAGAAACGGTGGGCATCGCGGGCAAGACGAGTGTTACGAGCCCACGGCCTTGCCAGCGGTACACAGGAAGCCAAATCTACCGAACATCGCCCGTTAAAGTACCTGCAAAAGAGAGTGAAGAAACATTGCGGCGAAGAGAAACGGAAGAGAGATTATCAACTAAAGAATGAGAGTTACAAAGACGATTTGCCTTTGATTCCACCCTATCTAACAGTTGGACAGAAGAAGAGCCACCCCAGATATGAGAGCAGTACTCCAAGTTAGGACGAATGAATCCCTTATAAACTTGAAGCAACTGCTCAGGAGTGAAGTAGCTACGGCATCTGTACAGCATTCCCAGCTTTCAGGAGGCAGCTTTAACAATGTTGTGGATGTGTGGCTTCCATGACATATTAGAGGAAATGGTGAGACCTTACATATATATTTTAGAATATGGCAGAATGATTGCATCCTAAAATGTGATTGGTAGATCTTCTATTTTGGAATGTGTAATTGGTAAATACTGTGTTTTATTACTATTGAATTTAACCAAGTTTCTACCACCCCATTCGGAGATGCTGCACAGCTCCGCAGTGATAGATGAAATGATATCAGCTGTAGAAACACATCTAGTTTGAGAATTAGGGGGAAAGGAAAAATGTGAAGAGCGAAGAGTAAGAATCATCACTTTAGCTAAATAAAAAGTAAACCAATTAAATAATTGACAAAAAATCCCGTAAAATTGTAGAGTTTCAGTCAGAAATAATCCAATGTCTTATTTGGTTAGATGCAGACATTATAACGTTAAGGCAGGAGAGTGCACACGAAGTGGTATTTGGCGGTGGAAGGGGAGACGGTCGTGGTTAAAAGCAGCATCACAAGGTGGTTGATTGAGTGGATCTATAAATGCTGGAGGACACCAACTAACTTCTCTACATTAAGAGTAAGACCACATCAACTCCCCCGTAAGTACAGTCACAACTAACACCAACAAGTGGACAATAACCAAACAAAAACTTACTCTCGTATAAAGCTGAAATTACTATGAGGACGTAATCAAATTACAGTTCAAAAAATTCAAAATTTCCTCCACGGATATTTACAAAATCCTTTAATCAGGACACAGGTCACTAACTTTACCTGGACGTCTGTCACAAACATTGGATCAAAAGGCACCGATGTTAAATAACTTGCTCTGTAAATTCAAAAACTGCACCACATTCAACCTGAATCCTTAATGTGTTAACATTGGCTGTTGTTACCGAACTCCAGTTTGTTTTAAAGCTGAATCGGACAAATATCTCTATTTAGCGGAATCGGTTATTTTGCAAAATGACCGGCATGCATATTGGTAATTTTGCAAAATAACTTACAAACAGACAACCTAACTTAACCTAACTTATGGTTAGGACAGCACATAGTAAAAAAAAAAAAAAAGCTACACGAGCCATCCTAACCTAACCTTAATCAACCATAAGGTTAGGTTGTTTGTTTGTAAGTTAATTTGCAAAATTACCAATATGCTTGGCAGTCATTTTGAAGGAAATCAGGTGAATAATTAAATTCAATAATTGAATCAATTGATTAATTATCATGTATCACAAGATGTGAACAAGTTACTTATTACACCTGCTGGCTTTATTATATTGAATGTGGGTCTGTTTTACCTGAACAGTTGTATAAACATGTACTGTACTTAAACCATAAACAATCCATTTACGTGGGCTGTATTTATCAGAGCTTTCCACACGGTAATCGCTGCCAGCTTTGTTTTTACTAAATGATTATAACTATAATCACCAGCACACCAAGTGACGACCAGAGATGAACAACAACCTCAAACTCACATAATTATGGAACACTGCATTGCTTTAACTGGTCAACCATGTTAATTGTTTACCAATAGTTAAACTAAATATATCGGAACGCACACACACACACCGGCTGCCATGCTCTTTCAATAAACCGTTAATTATAATTATTATTAATTAAACAAACATTAGGCCTATCTGCTCACTATGTGCACAGAAACTAAACAGATATTAAGCCTATCTGCTCACCATGTGCACAGTAACTGGAGAAAAGGCCTAGTCCTTCACTAAGTGCACAGGAACCAACAAAAAACCTAGCCCATTACTCCGTGCACAGGAACATTGCAAACTCAACAATTCCCTGTGGCCTGAGCATGGGTGGATCCGAGTTGCCACGCTGTACGGACGGTTGCTAAATAAACAAGAAACAGCCTAAGAAAGTGGATCAGGAGAGGTGTATATCCATTACCACCAACACAAGCAGCTCTCCGTGTGGGCAGGAGCAGCTCGGTGCTAAGGATATTACCTCATGAGGGTAAACGGAACGCAACGAACTTTTGAAGTAATTGTATTGAACTTTTCTACTCACTTAGGTTTTAAACAGTTGCAAAGTTCTCAGTTAAGAAAAAAATGAAAGCAACAGAATAAATTAAAAAACAACAACAATATAATAATGATTGAAAAACGTGAAAAGGAATGGGCAACATACAGTAAGCGCCATTAAGATAAACCATAACAACAAACTTTGTGGAAATCTAAATCCATTTCAAGTATAATGGCCAATGTACCGGTACGGCAGATATATATTTTCCCGTTGCCGAATCTAAATAACTTTTGATCTAAAGCTGTGACCTTGACTTATAAAACAGACTTGAAAATACTGTTGCGCACTCCCTTTATACAAATACCCTAATACAAATTCATATCTTCCTTGATACAAGACTGATACTACGGACAAGGCACATCTGTCCGTTTTCCATTGAGCTTATTAAAATGTCTCAACCGTGAGTACTGAACACAATGAACAAACTTTAGAATTCTCCATAATTACCGGTAACGTATATGTTCCATAGAGCGCGAAGCCTTGCCACTTGCCAGGAGAGCAGCAATGGAGCGGCTAGACCGAGGTAATACAGGGTTAAAATGATTACGGGATGAAACCAACGCCCGTAAAATTGTAAACCCATTAGGGAGGGCTCGAGGCTGGGAGATGGATTACCAGGGGCGCAGAGCCATATGAGAAACGCTGCCTGATGACCACGCGTTCAATAGGTATGGATCTCATTATGGACTAAAATTAAATACATACAAGAAAGAAAGCAAAGAAACTATATACTGTATAATAAAATGAGGTCATGATAGGTAAAGTAAATATACTGTATATGTTGGTGGTTATAAAATGTGTACGACAATGAAGTAAGTCCAGGACACTGAATAAAATATAATGTTCAATGAAGTAGATAAACACTTGTAGATAAACAGGGAATTGCTTGACTTACCAGTGATGATGGCATACTGGGCGTGTAGCAGCTCACTGACGTCACGAACACTGAGCGCGCACCCCCCCTCCTCCAGCACCTCGTCTGTAGGGGAGAAATAACCTGTTACTGTCACATTTCATCAGAGGTATACAGTAGTTTACTAACTATACTAGAGTACTTAAATTTAAGTCTTTTTTTTAGGGTCGACTTTTTAAGAAAGTATCAAAGTACTTTTATTCGGAACAACTTTTACATTAACCTAGCACAATTTAAGAGAAAACATTGAACTTTAACTAAGCTACAATTTTACAATAGTCTGTTAAATACAAAGCAATTTTCCCAAACATTAGGGAAATTTCTATGGATGGATAAAGCAACCAATTACATGACGTTGCTTGACGCGAAGAAATCACACAAGAGACATATTTTGGGGGTTCCAGTGAAGATCTCTCCGCTAGACTCATACCTTATATATATATAAAAGATTTAATTAAACAAACCAAGAGGGGATCATCTGAGGATTAGGCACCCCATTTTATTTCACCTGATCATTAAACACCCTAATGCTAACTTATCCCCTCCTGGTACATTAGCAGGGGTGCCTAATCTTCAGGTAATCTCTAGAGAGCGTCCGAAAACCAGACTGTGATTGGTTGAAGTGTGAAGTCATGTTTCTAAAACAGATCAGGGATTATTATAACATTTCTGGAGTTAACAGCTGATACCAAGAACCGCAACTAACCTAAAAATTCTAGATAGGTTTGGTTAGGTTAGGTTAGGTTTGGTTGGCTTAGGTTTGATCGATATATGTAGTTTGTTTTAGAATGGCGGTTCCAGCCCCAATGACTAGCAGCCACGGTTCCCGACAGCCTGTAGTCACTGGTCACAATATTCACACTAAGGAAGCATTTTTGTGAACGGATTACCTTATATTGACTCGTGTGTCTGGTTAAAGCTGGAGATTTGTAGCCTGAAAAAAAAACGGCGACTACAACAAAGTACACAAGGAGGCGGGAAGAATTGGTGAACCACTAGGTACCCCTGTACAATGACACCAGAAGCATCTGGCTAGTGTGACAAGTATATACAGTATAAATATTATAAAGGGGCTTACTAAAGCCTAAGGAAGGAAGGATATTCCTTTAACATATAATCAATATTATTTACAAAATATCTGGCCAGTATGGGGAGGATCATCGTGTCTCCGTCAGGGGGTCGTGGAGTGGTGGTCCAGCAGGCGTCACGGAAGCGTTGTGTGTGGGGACATCTTAGGAGGTAGTGGATAAGGGTGCTGCTGTCGGGTCTTCCTCGACTATCTTATTATTTCTTCACTGCGAAATCGTACATAACATCTTCAGTACTCATTCATATTTCTTTATAATTCCTTGGGTAGTTTACTTAAATAACTGAACATATTAGCATACCAGTATTATAGATAAATATGCATGAAGCAAATACGTCCATTTAATTAGGATGACTTCAGCTGCATACACTGTAAAAGTTGGCCCACGCCTCGCCAATTTAACCAGCCGCCAATATAAAATTCCCGCCACGCTACAGAAATTCCCTAGTGACCTCGGAGAATATTGGACATTTTTTATAAAGGAAACGAAACATATTTTTTTCTGATAATAGTCCTATTTATCATTCAAAAAATCAACACATCCAAATAGTAATGAAAAAAGTTGTGAAAAGAATTTACTTACAAAATCAAATATATATTATAAAACTGTGTTACGTTAATATGAGCGTCGTCTTACGGGGTAACATACAGGCATACTTTTCTTTAAGCGACTAGCAAAGTTTTACACTAATTTTTGAGCGATGTTGTAAATCCTAATAGGAAGGAGAAAAACGGAATTTTTTAAAGTACACAAGAAACCAGACCTCAAGCACACACCTTCACTGAGTCACTAGGCGTCATTATGAGCACCTGTGTCACTTGCATCATTATGAACATCCGTGGTACTTGCATCATTATAAACACCTGTGTCATCTTGCATCATTATAAACACCTGTGTCACGTGCATCATTATGAACATCTGTGGTACTTGCATCATTATAAACACCTGTCATCTTGCATCATTATAAACACCTGTCACGTGCACCATTATGTACATATGTAATACTTGCATCATTATAAACACCTGTGTCACTTGCGTCATTATAAGCACCTGTGTCATTTGCATCATAAATGAGCACCTGTGTCACTTGCATCATTATAAACACCTGTGTCACTTGCATCACTATAAACAATTGTGTCACTTGCATCATTTTGAGCACCTGCGTCACTTGCATCATTATAAACACCTGTGTGATAACTGGTGTTATAATAGGAACCCACGGGGCACCTGGAGTCATTAGGAACATGTCTGAGATATATGACGTCATTAGCAGTATAATGACGTATACCTGTGAGCCATAGGGTGTTTCATCTCACCACCATGACCCAGGTTCGAGTCTCACCTGGGTCGGGTGTGAGAAGGATGTTGTCCCGACTCCTGTGTGACCCTTCCAAACATCTGGATACACAGGACTTATAACTTCGTCCAGTATACTCAGTTAAATAATGCTTTTGTTTTTGGTTTTTTTCAGGCATCTAATCCCCTCATGAAGGCTTATGGGCCCACAATAAACAGTTATAAGAGAGGAGGAGACATCTTGGCATTTACTACGAATAAAAGAGACTTGGTATTATTGAAATATTGAAATTATGAAGCTTGGTGGAGTGGCTGAGAAAGATCCCGACAGACACCTTGAGCAGCCGGACAGGTTATAAAGTGACAAATAAAAGAGGTTAATAAACAGAGATCTTAGGAAGTTGATGAGGCGTAGAAATTCGTCACATTTTTTCCCCTGAAGGACAAACGTGACCATAACAGACAGAAGTGAAATTCCCTAGACACGTATACACCTCAACCTGCTGTTAAATCATCCCTACACACCTCCACCTGCTGTTAATCATCCATACACACCTCCACCTGCTGTTAAATCAACCATACACACCTACACCTGCTGTTAATCATCCATACACACCTCCACCTGCTGTTAAATCAACCATACACACCTCCACCTGCTGTTAAATCACCCATACACACCTCCACCTGGTGTTAATCATCCATACACACCTCCACCTGCTGTTCATCATCCATACACACCTCCACCTGCTGTTAATCATCCATACACACCTCCACCTGCTGTTAAATCATCCCTACACACCTCCACCTGCTGTTAAATCAACCCTACACACCTCCACCTGCTGTTAATCAACCCTACACACCTCCACCTGCTGTTAATCATCCCTACACACCTCCACCTGCTGTTAATCATCCATACACACCTCCACCTGCTGTTAATCAACCATACACACCTCCACCTGCTGTTAATCATCCATACACACCTCCACCTGCTGTTAATCATCCATACACACCTCCACCTGCTATTAATCATCCCTATACACCTCCACCTGCTGTTAATCATCCATACACACCTCAACCTGCTGTTAAATCAACCATACACACCTCAACCTGCTGTTAAATCAACCATACACACCTCAACCTGCTGTTAAATCAACCATACACACCTCCACCTGCTGTTCATCATCCATACACACCTCCACCTGCTGATAATCATCCCTACACACCTCCACCTGCTGTTAATCATCCATACACACCTCCACCTGCTGTTAATCATCCCTACACACCTCCACCTGCTGTTAATCATCCACTTACACACCTCCACCTGCTGTTAATCATCCATACACACCTCCACCTGCTGTTAAATCATCCCTACACACCTCCACCTGCTGTTAAATCAACCCTACACACCTCCACCTGCTGTTAATCAACCCTACACACCTCCACCTGCTGTTAATCATCCCTACACACCTCCACCTGCTGTTAATCATCCATACACACCTCCACCTGCTGTTAATCAACCATACACACCTCCACCTGCTGTTAATCATCCATACACACCTCCACCTGCTGTTAATCATCCATACACACCTCCACCTGCTATTAATCATCCCTATACAGTATATCATGTGAGGTGTGGATAGGCTTTCTAGTTATTGAGGCGTTGAAGACACGAGAAATCTATTTAATTAAACAACAGACGCATAAGACAAACAACAATTGAATAAAAGAGAATTAACACAAACCTGATAAATGATGTAAAGTTGAAACGTTCACAAAATATTCATCACAATATAATGAATAACAGGAAAGGAAATATAATAATGAATAAACTTGCGTCCGAATATTAAGCTCAATATTATTTTTTTTTAGCACGGGATAATATTAATAAACAAATCATTATGACAGATACACTACATTAAATTCTGCTTATAAAACTGGTTTATTATATAGAAAATAATTAAATAGTAGTGATATATTTTTTTTTTCAGTAGTGACAGGCAATGGTGTATATTTCTGACATATATAAATAAATAAGGGTATTATTGTACAAATGATGAAATATATCCAAGCTGCATGACACTCGAGTACTGTCATATATATATATTGGTAATATTACATGTGTATGTCGAGGCTTCATCTCATATTCAGTAGAAACAAAGAGACTCATCACAGCTGTTAATGAAGTCCTGTTTCCCGAGCTGATATTCTAAGCCTTTTGTCAGATATCGAATATAGAGGAGTCTCTCTCTCTCTCTCTCTCTCTCTCTCTCTCTCTCTCTCTCTCTCTCTCTCTCTCTCTCTCTCTCTGACATACAAAGTTATAATACTTCATTTAACTCACATATAATTTATATCATTTAAAGTTGCTGAAACAAAACCTCTGACCACTGAACTAGGCTACAGCAACTTTTACCCTCATTACCTATACTGTAGTCTCCCTGTAGCTGTACTGTATGCTGAAACTATGCCATAGAATTTGTACTTGACTTTACATTTAGTTTATGTTAATAGGACCATCTAAAGATTAGCCCCAAGAGTTATATCACCATAAGATTAAACATAATTAAACAACCCTAACGCTAATCTAACCTAACGCTTATTTAACCTAACGCATAATCTAACCTAACGCTAATCTAACCTAACGCTAATCTAACCTAACCTAACGCTAATCTAACCTAACCT